CCCTGTCCCTCATGCTAGGTCAGTTCCGGACAGCCTTCATCTCCGTAGCCGTCCTGCTCCCGGCTGTGGTTGCCTGTCGGTGCTCGCCAACCCAAAAGGCAGAAGTAGCGGACCTCATTCGCCAGCACACCAAAAAGCGCGTTTGCTGTATCGGCGACGGTGGAAACGACGTCTCCATGATCCAGGCCGCTGATGTCGGTATCGGCATTGTCGGTAAGGAGGGTCGTCAAGCCTCCCTAGCAGCCGACTTCAGCATCACCCAATTCCACCATCTTACCAAACTCCTCGTCTGGCATGGCCGCAACTCCTACAAACGCTCCGCCAAACTCGCCCAGTTCATCATGCACCGTGGTCTCATCATCAGCGCCTGCCAAACCATGTACAGCATCGCCAGTCACTTTGACCCCAAGGGTCTCTTCATCAACTGGCTGATGGTCGGCTACGCCACCGTCTACACCAACGCCCCCGTCTTCTCGCTCGTCTTCGACCGTGACGTCGACGAAGAGCTCGCCAACCTCTACCCCGAACTCTACAAGGAGCTTAAAACCGGCCGCAGCCTCAGCTACCGCTCTTTCTTCACCTGGGTCCTGGTCTCCGTCTACCAAGGCGCCGTCATTCAGGGTCTCTCCCAAATCCTCCTCGACACCATCACCGGCCCCCGTCTCATCAGCGTCTCCTTCACCTCCCTCGTCATCAACGAGCTCCTCATGGTCGCCATCGCCATCACCACCTGGCACCCAATCATGATCTTCTGCATCATCGGCACAGCTCTCGTCTACGCCGCTAGCGTTCCCTTCCTCGGCAGCTACTTCGATCTGCACTACGTCATCACAGTAGACTGGCTCTGGCGCGTCTGTGCCGTCTGCGCCGTCTCCCTCATTCCAATCTGGGCGGGTAAACTGATCCTGCGGTCGTGGAGTCCACCCAGTTATCGGAAAGTGCGGGGTTAGCTGTTTACCATCTTATACGTGTCGTACCCTTCATCCATCCCCCCATGATATTTTGTCTCCTGGCTTCTTGTCCATCAAGCATATGACTATACACCTGTATATCACCGAACCAAAAAACTGGTCGTTACTTGCTCGCCGTCTTACTTGTTATCCATTGCGTGGTATATAGACTTAGCGTGAATTATATGCGATTCATTATTTTCGTCGCCATTAGTACGGTGTCTGTACATGACTGTAAGCCAAGTAATATTTAATTAGTCAGTTGGTCTCAGCCACGTGCGGATTGAGTTTAAGACATGATTATCTGAGTTAGGAGGCTGCCCCATGTCTTTCCTTAGACTCGTGACTGCCAAGTTACGAGTTACATGTAGATCAGCAACGATTACAGAATATAAATGTATGTATGTAGTAGGTAATACTGCAGATGTAGATATATATGACTCAGTGAATAGTAAGGGTATAATTGCCATCACTGCAATGGCCCAAACAATAGTAGTACATTACATCAGAGATAGGACTAAAATAAACACACAAGACCATCATAATTGAACATTATATAATAAAGTGGCGGGAAAATACCCAATTTTTCGTTTCTGTTTCTTGTTTCATCTTCAGATCATCCTATATTCATAAACATATATATCATCCACATTAATCCAATCAACCTCATAGACGGAAAGTACTAAGTAATACCAGTAAGTAGGCAATACTCCCAACCCATGAATCAATCAATCAATCAATGAATCAATTAGTCCTCCTTCGGCGGAGGCGAAAACACCTTCTTGAAGCGCAAGTGGAACAAATCATCAATGACCTCTCCCGTACTCTTCAGATTCTCCTTGACAATAGCAGAAGTGGGACGGGAGAAGAGCTCATCGATTTCCTCGAGAGACTTGTTCTTCGTCTCGGGCATGAAAATAATCTGGTAGATCCAGCCGAGGAAAGCAATACCACCGTAGAAGCCCAGGGTCAGACCGATACGGGTCATGGAGTTCATCATGCGAGTGAAGTTGTAGGTGACGATGAAGGAGCAGAGGAAGAGGTTGGCGTCGGCGGTGGTCATGCCGTAACTACGCAGATAAGTGGGGAAGACTTCCGCGGGCACGACCCAGGTGAGACAGGCGTAGGAGCCGAAGAAGGCCTGGTAAAGGACGATACCGGTGAGGTAGATGCCCTGGGCGGCTTTGGGGTGGGTCTGGTAGTTGATCTGGTAGCCGATGCCGACCAGCACTAAGCCGATGAAGAAGCCGGGGAGCATCGCGTTGGCCCAGTAGCGGCGGCCGAAGCGCTCCATGTATAGCACGGCCGGGATGGTGCCGATCAGGAGGGAGCCACCACCGACCAAAGACATGAAGACACTCTGACGCTCGTCGAAGCCGATGGCGCCCATTAGTGTGCTCATGTAGTACATGATGGCGTTGACACCGGTGAATTGGCCGAGGAAGACCATGATGTTGGCGTAGATCATGGCGCGACGGGCGCGCGGCACCGTAATGAAGTCCATCCAGGCGTACTTCTTGGTAGCGGCTTGTTCTTCGCGCTCGGCTTCCACGGCCTGGCGCATGCCCAGGAACTCGTCCTTAGCGTCATAGTCGTTGAACCCGCGGATTCGCTTCCACACGCCATAGGCTTCCACGGGCCGGCCCTTGTGCATGAGGTAACGGGGACTCTCGGGCAGGAAAATCATACCCACCAGCAGAATGGTCGAGAACACCAGGGATGATCCCAGGATGTAACGCCAGTTGCCCTTGACGTCGAGGAAGATGGCAGCCACGGCATAGCCCAGGACTTCTCCGAGAGCGATGTTCAATTGGTACAGTGAGACCAGGTTACCACGCATCTTGCGGGGTACTGGAGTGACGTTAGTCGATGATGGTGATGTAAAGGGGAAGTAAGGGGTGAAGGACATACCAGACTCGGCGACATACACAGGGACTGTACCACCTTCCAGACCCACACCCATACCGAGCACGAAACGTCCAGCAAAGATCATTCCGAAGCTGATGGCGCCGGCCTCCAAGGCGGCACCGATGGTATACAAGATGCATGAGACGATGATGGCCATGCGACGACCCAGGTACTCGTTGGCGGGGGAGAGGATGAGGGCACCGGCCACGGCACCCAGAGGCATACCAGCATCCACAAGACTACTTTGGTTGTCGTTAAGGTGCAATGCATCGGGCAGGTAGATGTTGGCACCACTGATCAGGGACTGGTCCAGACCGGAGAGTAGACCTCCCATGGAGGCAAAGGCCACTAGGACATAGGTATACACAGATGGGTTGGAGAAGCCCACGAACCAAGAGGGCTTCCTGCCTTGCAGCTGCTCCTCGAGCTGCAGCAACTCTGCATCCATGGCAGCTTCGTTGAATTCCTCGATGGCCTTGGGGTCCTTGAGGACATCGTCCATCTCCAAGGCGGTTCCCTCCTTGTGGTCATCATGGGAGGTGTCCAGGTCGTGTACGACACCCATGATTGGAAATGGAAAGTGCGGTGTGACAGCCGCTTGTGATATTAGAGGGAAGTGTTTTGTTTTATGATATGTACAAGAGAGGTACAATCAGGGCTAAAAGAGCATGTGGGAGGGGCGGGTTGTTCACTCTCTTTGCGGGTGGGAGAGAGGGTGTGAGAAAGAGAGAGAAGATACCTCCCACTACCGGGGCAAGGATCTTCTGTATAGAAGGGAGATAGATAAGGTGGGGATAGAGACACACGCAGAAAGAAGAAGAGAAAGAGGTAGAAATATCTGGGGAATGCCAGAAGGGGGGTATTTAAAGGGCACACATATCGGCCCATAGGCCTCCTCCTTCTCCAACTACAACTACGTACGACTGAGACTGGCTACTACCTCATCATTCCCCAGAAGCGTCATCGGCGTAATGAAGAGAGAGAGGAGAAAAGAAAAAGTCAGAAAAGAAGCAGGACCCATCATGAGGACCGGGTTTGACTCGTTAGTATCGGGCCGTGGAACCAGTCAGGGAAGCCGACCACGCGAGGGCCAGGCCGGGGGAAGGAGAAAAGAAAAGGGAAAAAAAAAAAAAAAAAAAAAAAAAAAAAAAAAAGTAGGCAAAGTAGAACTGCAAAGGTGGAGATGC